GCAGATACACATAGTTATCCTAGCAGATACACGTAGTTATCCTAGCAGATACATGTAGTTATCCTAGCAGATACATGTGGTTATCCTAGCAGATACATGTAGTTATCCTGGTAGATACACATAGTTATCCTAGCAGATACACATAGTTATCCTAGCAGATACACATAGTTATCCTAGCAGATACATGTAGTTATCCTAGCAGATACATGTAGTTATCCTGGCAGATACATGTAGTTATTCTAGCCAGATACATGATTTTGCGGTGTTGTTTGATCTGATTTTTCTTATTTCTGCAATCATATTCTAATTAAATTTGATTGTCATCTGGTATATTCTTGACACCAGAAATAATATTTATACACTTTACGGTAATTAATCTGAGGTTAATTTAGCTCGCATTAGTTTAGTTTTAAATTGTATAAAGACATGAGGTTTACTGAGTTGGGAACGTTTTTCTCCCACAACTTTCAGATATCTAGAAAACCATATGTTCCCTTGGGAATACATCACTCTTGTTTCCTATCAGGCAAACCATTGCCAGGAACTTTGACGTCACAATAGAAGATGATGTTGCCTACTAATTGTTACTTGATGTCGTAATTAGAAGGTTGACCATTGAAATAACATCTAGGGTGTTCCCTACTAATTGTTACTTGATGGCGTAATTAGAAGGTTGACCATTGAAATAACATCTAGGGTGTTGCCGACTAATTGTTACTTGATGTCGTAATTAGAAGGTCGACCATTGAAATAACATCTAGGGTGTTGCCTACTAATTGTTACTTGCTGTCGTAATTAGAAGGTTGACCATTGAAATAACATCTACGGTGTTACCGACTAATTGTTACTTGATGTCGTAATTAGAAGGTGGACCATTGAAATAACATCTAGGGTGTTGTCTACTAATTGTTACTTGATGTCGTAATTAGAAGGTTGACCATTGAAATAACATCTAGGGTGTTCCCTACTAATTGTTACTTGATGGCGTAATTAGAAGGTTGACCATTGAAATAACATCTAGGGTGTTCCCTACTAATTGTTACTTGATGGCGTAATTAGAAGGTTGACCATTGAAATAACATCTAGGGTGTTCCCTACTAATTGTTACTTGATGGCGTAATTAGAAGGTTGACCATTGAAATAACATCTAGGGTGTTCCCTACTAATTGTTACTTGATGGCGTAATTAGAAGGTTGACCATTGAAATAACATCTAGGGTGTTCCCTACTAATTGTTACTTGATGGCGTAATTAGAAGGTTGACCATTGAAATAACATCTAGGGTGTTCCCTACTAATTGTTACTTGATGGCGTAATTAGAAGGTTGACCATTGAAATAACATCTAGGGTGTTCCCTACTAATTGTTACTTGATGGCGTAATTAGAAGGTTGACCATTGAAATAACATCTAGGGTGTTGCCGACTAATTGTTACTTGATGTCGTAATTAGAAGGTGGACCATTGAAATAACATCTAGGGTGTTGTATACTAATTGTTACTTGATGTCGTAATTAGAAGGTGGACCATTGAAAAAACATCTAGGGTGTTGCCTACTAATTGTTACTTGCTGTCGTAATTAGAAGGTTGACCATTGAAATAACATATAGGGTGTTACCGACTAATTGTTACTTGATGTCGTAATTAGAAGGTTGACCATTGAAATAACATCTAGGGTGTTGCCGACTAATTGTTACTTGATGTCGTAATTAGAAGGTTGACCATTGAAATAACATCTAGGGTGTTACCGACTAATTGTTACTTGATGTCGTAATTAGAAGGTCGACCATTGAAATAACATCTAGGGTGTTGCCTACTAATTGTTACTTGCTGTCGTAATTAGAAGGTTGACCATTGAAATAACATCTAGGGTGTTGCCGACTAATTGTTACTTGATGTCGTAATTAGAAGGTTGACCATTGAAATAACATCTAGGGTGTTGCCTACTAATTGTTACTTGATGTCTTAATTAGAAGGTGGACCATTGAAATAACATCTAGGGTGTTGTCTACTAATTGTTACTTGATGTCGTAATTAGAAGGTTGACCATTGAAATAACATCTAGGGTGTTGTCTACTAATTGTTACTTGATGTCGTAATTAGAAGGTTGACCATTAAAAGTGTTGCTTACTAATTGTTACTTGATGTCATAATTAGAAGGTGGACCATTGAAATAACATCTAGGGTGTTGCCTACTAGAAGGTAACCCAAAATGTTGACCAACTCCTAGCATGTATAAATAGTAATAATAATTAGTATACTGTACATAAATGTTACAATAGATCTGCTATACGTACCCCGGTTATATATATATATATGGTTATACGTTACCTTTATTTTACAGACCTACAGGTACTGATGGGCAGTATGCTATACCTAAGACAAGGTATTGAGAATTCTCCGTACGCCCATCTGGTGGCCCCTATCTACTGGGAGGAGATCTGCGATGTGTTTACAAGGGATGCCTGCTGCCTTCTGGGCATGTCTGTGGAGAGCCCCCTAAGTGTTAGGTACAGACTTAGGCCAAAAAATATATGTTTGTTTCAGGTAACATACCTGAAAAGAATAGGGTAGGTCAGTAGGCAAATAATTTTGTTTGAATGTTAATTTACTATGTTTTTGAAGTAATATTATGCTTTATTTCAAATTTTACAATGCATTTCCACACATTACAATGACTATTAATTTGTCAAGAATAAGGTCAGACTCACAGAATAGGAAGAAAGTACATTTTAAAGAGTGGCTGTGAACTTTGCCTGGCTAATAAATTAATCTTAGATACAAGTAGGTGATAAAATACCTAGGGTCGGCAGTAGGATCTAGGGTCGGCAGTAGGATCTAGGGCTGGCAGAAGGATCTAGGGTCGGCAGTAGGATCTAGGGTCGGCAGTAGGATCTAGGGACGGCAGTAAGATCTAGGGTCGGCAGTAGAATCTAGGGTGGGCAGTAAGATCTAGGGTCGGCAGTAGGATCTAGAGTCGGCAGTAAGATCTAGGGTCGGCAGTAGGATCTAGGGTCGGCAGTAAAATCTAGGTCAGGATACCTGAAACACTCATATTTTATATTGACTTATCATCTCCTTCCTCCCCTTTTTTATGGCCAACAAAAGTGGAGCGTATCATGTTATCACACTCACTGTCCATTGGTTTGTTTACTAGTAAGTAGTCAGTTTTCAACAGAATTGTTTTAGATTTTGTGCTTGTGATGAGATATATAAAATGTGTATATCGTAACATGGGATTATCCTGTGAACAGTATTAGGCAGATGTGAGAAAATCTTCTAGCTCACTTATAATAAGTATTTCCACTTATCCTGAAATAGAATTACTAATCCCAGGCATTGGACTAATGACATTGTACACCCCTGTTATGTTTTCCCATTCCATTGTATTCAACTTTCATGAATAATAAAATATTTCCCTTATAATATTTTATATTCTGATGCATTTAGTTAAAATATTACATCAGGTTTTGATGTATGACACTTTGCGCTTTACATTTTAAAAAAGTCGAAATTCCCTGAAATTCCATTTGAACTTGTCATTGTTGAGGTCTTGCTGTTATGCCTGGCCAGTTATGTTTATTTCCCTGTACCGATTCACCACAGGCATAGCAATAAGTATTAAAAAACTGCTATAAAAACCTTGTACTATAAACAAGTTAATGATAAATGATAGAAGATCTACACTATGATTTTACGTTATTTTCATTCTAGTATCCGAGCGGGTTGTCTAGCCTTACCTCCCCTACTAAATATCCGACAAGTGATGCAGCAACGACAGGTGTCGGGAGTCTGGAGCAACAAGGACGAGTTACCGGTATGTTATTCACATGGTGGATATTTCAAAATAGAAACAGAGGCTAACAATATTGTTTTATGTCTGGTTTACTCCCCTTACTGTTACCTGTTGATCTGATAATGAAACATCTGTTTGATCTTACAATGAAACATCTGTTTGATCTGATAATGAAACAGAAACAGAGGCTAACAATATTGTTTTATGTCTGGTTTACTCCCCTTACTGTTTCCTGTTGATCTGATAATGAAACATCTGTTTGATCTTACAATGAAACATCTGTTTGATCTGATAATGAAACAGAAACAGAGGCTAACAATATATTTTATGTCTGGTTCACTCCCCTTACTGTTACCTGTTGGTCTGATAATGAAACAACTGTTTGATCTTACAATAAAACATCTGTTTGATCTTATAATAAAACATCTGTTTGATCTTACAATAAAACATCTGTTTGATCTTATAATAAAACATCTGTTTGATCTTACAATAAAACATCGGTTTGATCTGATAATGAAACAGAAACAGAGGCTAACAATACATTTTATGTCTGGTTCACTCCCCTTACTGTTACCTGTTGATCTTACAATGAAACATCTGTTTGATCTTACAATGAAACATCTGTTTATTTCATTACTTTTAGTTCTTGTTCTGACTTTTAATGGCTGAAGAAGTGTTTTGAAATTTTGCTTTAAGGACCTTTATCTATAAAACAGAATTAGAATTTTGTTTTTATAACAATGTACCTAATGTATTGATCTTAGGTGTACTGTAGACTGTGTGTGCTGTCCTGGTAGTACCTAATGTATTGATCTTAGGTGTACTGTAGACTGTGTGCTATCCTGTTAGTGTACCTAATGTATTGATCTTAGGTGTACTGTAGACTATGTGTGCTGTCCTGGTAGTGTACCTAATGTATTGATCTTAGGTGTAGTGTAGACTGTGTGCTGTCCTGGTAGTACCTAATGTATTGATCGTAGGTGTACTGTAGACTGTGTGTGCTGTCCTGGTAGTGTACCTAATGTATTGATCTTAGGTGTACTGTAGACTGTGTGT